GACCGCCGATGTCTGACGGGGCGCGCCTGCCGTAGCTGACCTGGCTAAAGCACAGCGGGGTGCGTTCTGTTCCCTTGAAGGCGACCCTCGTGGGCTTCAGTGGGAATAAACCTCCTCCCGGCCCGGAGCGCACACGAGCAGGGGAGGGACTTCCGGGTGTGCCCATGGTCGGAAGTAGAAATTAGCCTAATGAGACATTCTAACACAGGGACGTCTCTGCTTTATGAGTACCATTTACTGAACAGCTGGTTTGGATCAGATTTGTTTGTTTGTTTTTTTTCTAATTTTTGTTAATACTTTGGCGATGGAGCATGTGAGAAGCCCACTTGACAGGTTGTCTCAGAGTCTGTGGGTGAAAAGTCTTAGTTACTTGTAGACAATAGGGGTGTTTGAAACAGTTTATGGAAAACCGTAAGGTGCACGGGAATAGTCTGCATGCAAAATTAGAACTAAAATATTACTGGAATGCAAAATTGCATTAAATATTCTTGTGGTACTTCAGCAAGGCATAAATTGAAAAAAAAAAAAGTTTATGACTATACAAATTCCGTGCAATGCAAATCACTAAAGCTGTTTGAACATGCTTGCCTTGTACTTGCTCTCAAGTACTGGGAAGTTCTTTTGGTCCTGATTTGTAAATGGAGTAAAGGATCGGTATTTGACTTTTGCTGCTGTACTGTCAAAATTATGAACAGTTCCCTTTCAACCGATAATTACTGAAGTCTGGACTAGTAAACTATTTGGGGAGAATTGGTAGTTTTCCTTAACGGTGTTCTATAATTAAAAAGTAACTGTTTGAGCCCCTTAAAATTTTAAATACTTGTAATGACATACAAGTGAATGACTCACTTTTGGGATTGCCAATCCAATCTATATTGTAGAAAACTTAGTGCTATTTTTAGTAATTTTGAACAAGAAAGGGGGGTTTCTTCAGAGCAATATTTAACCAAAATGTGTGTAATAAATATGCTATATTATAAGCTGTAATAAAACCTGGAATTCTAACAGTTTATTTAATTAAAGTTTTGTACAAAAAACAACAACCCCCCCTGAATTATAGCAAGTCTTCAGATGCAATGAAGACTACAGAAACAGTGTTTCATAGTGCTTTTATGCTTTATCACTGGGAACTCCTTGGTTTGCATTAAGTCTTACTGAACGCTGGAATGTGTTTAAACACTTCAATCTTTCTGCTGACACCTGTAGCACAGCCTTATGTTTTTTCAGTTCTGTCCCCTTGCTGAATTTCAGGTTGCGGGTTATCTGTGCATCAGTTCTGGGACTGTTCTGTGCATCTGTGTGAAATGTCTCTGGGTCATTCCAGGTTGACTAATGCAATACAAATGCAGTTGTGCTTCTCCCTAAAGTTGCTGGGCTCGGTGTGTGGCTCTTCTGCTCGTTTGAGTAGGCTCCATGTAGATGCTCAAGTAATATAGAGTGAGCTTGGGTCCTACTGGGTTCAGTTTCAGTCTAATGCTGATCCATAAGGAAGTCAAGCTCTCCTGCGAGTCACAGTGCTCTAGGAGGGCTCCATGAGTTTGAGTGGTGTAGTCCTTTCTTCTCTTCTGTCTAGTCTTGGATAATGGAGACTTGATTGTGTGTTAATGAAGCATCACAATAGTTGTTTAAACCACAGTAGCAAAAGTCAGTGATCTAAATTTGTTCTGATTGGAGTTTTTAGGTAAGGTGCAGGTTGATTCACTTTATTTTTATCCATGTAATCACATACCTTAATGCTTTTTACTGCGTTAGCAACTACTGAATGATGGCCATCTTTATGTTGGATTAAATGACTTTTAAAAGGTGTGTGATTAACAGCCAAGAAAAGAGCAAGTTATTGCGACTACAAGAGACCTGTAATTCGAGACTCCTAAACGTTTCTGATTTAGTTGCACCAAGAAAAATTATTGTTTATTCGTATTTTTTTTTTTAATCTTGGATTTCTATCTAGTTGCACTTGGATATAAATTTAAGAATGAGAATTTAAGAAGATAAGGTAGCATTATTTTGTTGACCTGAACTACTCTTAGTAAGTTTTATTAATCTAATACAATTTACAACAAATGAAATAGTAAGAATAATATCCATTCTAATCAGTTGACTGTTTTTTCTTTCCAGGAATCAAATCTGTCAATGCTATTAAAACACGTAGAGGTATTGATAGGCAACTATTTACGGTTCTTCCCTCTCCCTCCAAAGGCTGGATAAGCTTTGATGGTGCCAACATACATGTAAATCCTGTTAGGTCTCTTTCAGAAGGCACAGATAACAGTCCAGGGAATGGAACCAAGCGTCTGTGTAATAAGGCGGTTGAGCAGGTACCCAGGTATGACTTCTTGGAGGGTTTGTAAGCTTATCGGAAAACAAACCAAAATTGATGAGAGTAAAGTTCAGTATGGCCAAGCCGAACTCACATTCTTCTAGGAAGTTTCTCACCATGCCTGTCCTCCTAACTGCTGTCTTTGCCATCCAGTGTTCTTGCTCTTTAGATTCTGAGAATTAGTAGGTCATATGCTCTCATTTAATTTTCAGGAATGAAGCAGTTTTTCTGATTTTTCTCAACTAATGTTGAATTGTCACATTCTAATGAGTTTATTAAAATGAAAATAAAGAGTTCTTTATTGGTGCTGGTCAACTCCGATACCTGCTGAGATACAAGTTGGTAAACAAAACTTTAAAAGTACTTCCCACCCAAATATCCCAAAATCTGAAAGTCTTCACAGAAATCTCTTCCACAGTTGCTAATGAGCTTACTGGTAAAAAAGTATAAAAACTAAGGATGTTTGGATTCTAAAGCAGGTAATGTGAAAGGACACAATTTCAAAAGCCTTTCATAATTTCCCTAACACAGGTGGTTCTATGAGCAACAGCCTAGTGAAGGCCAGCTTCCTAGGAACACATCTGGAGATCTGGCTTCTGTGTAGATTATCTGGTGTCTAAAGAGTTACATTGCAGCCTTTTTCTCTGTGGACCTTCTAATAGGGTTTCTCTTTAATTGCCTGTTCTCATGAAATCTCTAGAAATGCCTGATTATCTTGTTCACTGATGGAATTTGCAGTAGGTATCTGCATGCATGTGGAAGGCACATCTGTGCATCTACCTTGCTCCAGCTCCATACCAGCTTCATATTTAATTTGACTGCATATGTTTTCTTAGGAGCACAAATGGTGCTGTAAGGAAAAAACCTTTCACTGAGACCACAGTCTGACAGTGAAAAGTTGCCCAGGGAGGCTGTCAAACCTCTGTCTATGGAGGTTTTCAATTCATTGCTGAGCCTGCTTTGAATAGGAGGCTGGAGTAGGTAACATCCTGAGTTCCCTTCCAAGGTGAATGAGTATTGTTCTGAGAAGTAGGCTAAAAGGAAAGCTAATAGAAACTTGCCATTTTGTGGAACTTCTCACTTTGAAGAGGTGAAATGTTAGCATTTTTGCTTTTTTTAATGCAGAGATATTATAGTCAAGCATCGTTAGTTGGCAAAGTAGAAGTATCTGTCTTCGACTAGTAAGGTACTGTCCAGACTGCTATCTCGGTTTTTTAGGCTAGTATTAAAATACTATACTACTACTGGAAGAGTTGCATTTGTGATCTTTGTTGAAAAACTGGATGTAGTTGGGTGTTATATGGAATGTAGAAATGAAGGGAACCTTTAGTGTTGCATAGAATGCCAGTATGCTGTATTGTTGCAGAGATGCTATCTAAATGAACTGTAAATTCAGGAATAAATTGATGGATAAAATGCCAGAGCAAGGGTTGACTGACCTTTTCAGAATTGAGTTTGCTACAATTATTTTATTTTGCTATTAACTTGCCTTTGTTCTGTTCATGCAAAAGTATCTCCATTTTTTTTTTTTTTAGCTACAATTAAAAGTAGCTTAAGATAAATTTGTTTTTTAGGTAGCCAACATGGTACAAAGATCAAGACTCTTGGGTCCTAGAGTAGCTCAGGTTTAATTTTACTGTAGTGCCTTCATATTGAATTTGCTGGTTAAGAATGGGGTGCATACCAACAAAAGATTCACTGTAGTTATGCATGGAAACAAAGTGCAAACCAAAGCTTGAAGAATGTCCAAAATATAAGAGAAATAAATTAGTACTAAAAGAGTATGGATAATAAACTCTGTAGTAATTGGGGAATTAAACTAGGATCTTGAGGAAATAAGCTCAGAAGGGTGAAATTTCAGTGACCTTTGTAATGGGGCGTTGCTGGTCTAATGAATAACAGATGTTAGATGAGTAACAATTCGTTGAAGTACCAACTGAATGATGTTGCACATGATACAGAAATACACATACTTTTTGGATTGAAGACCAACTACTTGAAAACTGGAAAATGAATTACTTGTGTTCAAGGTTTTGTTGTTTGTTTTTGTTTCTACTGGATTAATGATTTCCATTTCAGAAAGATTGCTGGTTAAGAAAACTTGAGATGCATGGATGTTGCATTCTATATACCACCTTTGTAGACTAATGTTTCTTTTTTTATGAGATAGACCTGCCTCAAGGAATGTCTGCTTCACATTCTTCAGTAGCGTCAATGTATCAGTTAAAGGACTGAGATGAAGGAAGTGTTTCCAGTGGAGCCTAACCTACTGAACTACATGTCCTTCTGGCTGATCTGAGCATGGTGACATCCTGTCAGCTCTGTTGTTACCTTCAGTGGACCATGGGGTTGGTGCACATAACCTGCTATCATAGAGGGACTGATCATAAAGCTTTAACCAGAGACTATACGAGTTCCCAGTTGACTTCACTTTAAAAAGAGGATTTTACAGCTTAATTTTACTCCTTGGATTTCCATAGTGTCAGACTAGTTACTCTGATTTATTCCATTCTGTATAGGTTCCTGTTCCACACCTATTCCAATGGTATCAGAATGTCTTCCAGAATTCTTACTGATAAAAAGCATTAGAAAACAAGACTAGCATCTGTCAAATGGGGCTCCCTCTCCATTTCTTTCTGCATAGCTTTCCTTTGGGGGGAGAAGAAGAGGAGAATAGCATGTGAGTTTTTTGAATTTTGATTAAACTCTATTGTATGTTTTTTACATAAGGTTTGTTTGTTTTGTCTTGTTGAATGATGACATACAGAGTAGAAAAAGTGGGTTTTTTGTTTATTTGTAGGGTGTTTTTTTGGTTTTTCTTCTTCTTTTGGTGAGGCTCTGCTTGTAGCTTCTGTTTTACACGGGAGGGTTTTTTGCTACTGCTTACAAGAAAGTCTTGCCTTTTAAGACAAAGATTTCATGTTAACAGTGATTTTTGCCTTCTTTAAGTATGGCTTGTTAAGACATTAAGGACCATCAAGGTCTAAGTACTGTTTGGGGATTTTTTTCTCTCCTTTTTTTTTTTTTTTTTTTTCTTGCTAGAACTTGTCCTGGATGGATGAATTGTTTAGCAATAAGGACTGAGATCTTTTAAACTCTCTTGGGTCCTCTTCCAGATAACTAAGAACAAAGAAATGCCTGTGAAGCTCCCAGTGACCATTTTGAATGCAGGGTAGTTCCTTTGCATTTTGTGCCAATTTAAGTTTCTTAAATCTCAGTCTCAAATGCATTTTGCTGTAATGTAGGTACGAGGTGATAAAGGCACATACTTCTAAGCCCAAGGGCGTACCTTATGATGTACTGGGAGCTAAAGATAAGCTAAACCCATGGGAATACTTTATGATGTACTGGGAGCTGAAGATAAGCAACTGATGCATCCATAGCCCAGGTGCATGGGGTGTGATAAAAGACTAGCTATTGGGGAAGTGCTAGGTCCTTCCTGGTGGTATGTTCTAGACAGATGGGCAACCGTGCTGTGTACAACCCTTCAGGTGGATGACCCATAGCAGATAATCTGTCTCTCTGTAAACTGGACTCCAGCTATCGCAGCTGGAGGGAGCAGGGTAGGGTATAAATCCAAATTCTGGAGTAGGAGAAGGCCTAAAAGCATGTGTGTGTGACAGAAATTTGTCCTACACTCAGTGTATTTAGCTGTGAGTGCCATACGTTAATTACATTTTATTTCTACTGCATTAATATTGTAGTAGCTTGGTTTTTGCCAAGGTCCAGCATAAAAAAAATTAACAGCATAAATTTCCTGTCTGCAGGAAATTTAGATTTTGCCATCGATCATATTTTAAGCATGTACATACCTGACAGCAAGACAGATTCTCAAAGAGGCTTCTCATCTTGACACTAACATTCAAGGTGAAAAGTGTTGAATTCATCCTTCCTAAATGAGCTCATAGTAACTCTTGTGTTCATATTTTCCCACAAAAAAATGACAAACCATGGAGTAGCTGCCACATAGACACAAAGAGATCTGAAAGAAAAACTTGCAGTTTTGTTTAGATAGGAGAAATGTAAAGGATTCCCCCCACCTCCTCCCCAAATCATATTCTGTTTCCTTTAAAAGGAAGCAATAGATCTACTGGGAAATATTAATAAGACCAGTTCTTTGGCTTAAGGCTTTTGCATTTTCATATTTAAGAATACATTTTTAAGACTTCAGTTTTTGTTTTAATACTGTTAAATGCACGTGTCTATGTTCAAGTATTCCATCATTTTCGTTGTATTTCTTTTTCAGGAAAAGTGCAAAATGTTTCAAATTCCTGTTCAAAATCTTGATAATATTAGGAAGGCTCGAAAAAAGGTGAAGGGCATTCTTCTGGATCTTGGGCTTGACAGCTGCAGGGAATTGTTAAAGGTAAAGCATTTGAAATAATGAAACCAATCTGACACAAATATTTACACTTTTTGTGTGTGTATGATACTCCTCTGGCATAGATATTTATGGTGGGGGTCTTTACTTGAAGGGTTAGTTATGACTGACTACTCATATGCCAAGGGTGGAATTTAGTGTTTTAGAACATAACATTGGCAGAAACCCTGTTTCTGAGCAAGATGTGTTATAGATGGTGCTGCATATTCTCTGCTAGTAATACTTAAGCAAAAGGAAACAGCTTTAGGAAAAACACCACAGACTAATAAATTATTATTTCACAGCAACTTTTTTTGCATTCTTTTAAAATCATAAGAAGACGAAGACTTGAGACTGTTCAGGGCTATCCTGACACATATCAAGGGCAAGTCTTCAATACAAATTGTCAGTATTTCTGAAAACAGACAAGCAGTTAGGCCCAGTAATCTCACTGCAAGCCCTTAAACTTTATATTCAAGGGAAAGTATGAAACTTGTCTTACTGAGTTGTATTCGATTCTGCATTTTAAAATGTATATGCAAGTGCACTGGAGCCATCAAGAAGACCTAGTACCATTGTTTCCACTTTCAGGAGAAAGTATTGGGGAACAAGCAGGATGGATTCACAGCATCAGATTGGCAAGACATACTAGAAAAAGTGCAAACACAGTAATGCAACTCAGTGACTACCCAGTAATGTACTTCAGCCAGCTGGTACACAGGCTTTTTTGGCAGTTTAGTGTGTTTATGTCTTTACATTGAATCAAGGATTTGGATTAACTGGATGAAGGTGCTAAACTAAATTAGCTCTGTAGGGGTGCCGTTGTGTCTTTTGTGGTGTTTTTGCTGAAACTGTATACATAAATGATTAAGATGTACACACATTCTGGAACATTCTTGGCTTCTGCACTTAAAAATGTTTGATATATCTAAATATGTCATAAGAGCTCAGGGAAAAGTGTATTTGTCTAATAATTTCAATTTCATACTGTTTATTGTGTTGTATATTGTTTTGTAATTAAACCTGTAAGAAGCTGTTCTGTCTGGACCCTTTGAAGTAGAAGTGTGTTGATGATGCCTTTTTTTTCTCTTTTTTTTTTTTTTTTTTTTTGCTATGAAATTGACTGCAGTTTAACTTTTCAATTGCAGTATGGGGTTTAATGGCGAATGGGGAATAAGGTAGTTTGTGTTAGCTTTTTGTGTTGGTGGTTTTTTTTGGTTTTTTTTTTTTTTTTTTTTCTTCTTCTGTGGGGTGGTGGTGGTGTGTGTTTATTTCGTGGTGTTTCACTTTTAATAAATGGTGATGGTTGGGGACCCCAGTAAACATTTTCATTTTGGAAAAAGCTCTGTGAGATGTAGGCTAAAGAAGATACAGTTTTATTTTTTTGCAAATAATTCTCCCTCAACCAAGTTCATAACTTCAGTTTGTTTCTTTCAGGTAATCTGTGGCTGGTTTTGGTAGAACTTTAGCAGCAAGAAGAGTGGTTTTTAGAACTTGATTTGTAGTTGGCTCGTATGATGATGGTATCTCTTTTTGGTAGAACAGGGTGTGTGGTGTCTTAATAGATGAGAAGTACGTTAAGTCGTGTGTCCTCCTCGTCATCTCCCATCCCCAGTATTAGGATTGATTTCTGGACATTCTCGTGTGAGGAGGCTGGACAACTTAGGAAACGGTATGAAATGATGTGATACAGACTTGACCTGCTGTCTGGTCTTAAAATTGGTCTTAACCTGTTCTAGTAAGGTATGGTAACGGACAGTAGTTTATGAAGAAGGTGAAGGAATTTCACATACAATTAGTATCTCTTTGTAGCTTGGAGACAGTATGGTTTAGCATTTAGGCTAAAAGTTTTTCATTCATCTCTGCTAGGAGGAAAGCTTGAGCTTTTGGGCTAGCTTACTAGTTTGATTCTCAAAGTGGTACTTTTAAGTACTTTGTAATGTCAGAAGCTTTCCTTTAGTAAACTATTTTAGCTTCTTTAACCTATTGTGATCTTTAAGTCCTCATTTAAACTCTGAGCATTTTATCTTTTTGTTCTGGAAAGCAGAACATTTTTGGGGTAGGCCATAGACTTTGAGAAAACTTTTATAACAGTGTGTAATTCACTCCAGTGTGTTTGGCTGAAGAATTGTTGGTAAATCTTAAGTCTCTTCATAGGTTTTGTCTATCAAACATATGTAAGAAAAGCATCATGTTTTCTAAGGCTGTGGGATTTCTCTTGTTCCATGCAAGGGTTCTTTCTAAGGTGTTTTTCTTTCTTTAAGAAGGTTTGGCTGAAAGGCAGATAAATGACTATTCACTGCTTAGATTTGATTAGAATAGAAGGGTTTGCTGATGAGAGTGGAAGGGGTCTTCTGAAGCCTAGGGTCTTCAGAAATACTTAGCAAATGTAATGTAGTTCTGTTGTTTTTTTGGGTTGTTTTTTTTTTTTTTTTCCATTTAGTTTGTGTTTGGATATGTGTGGGCTTCAGAAAATTGGAGAGGAACTTAAAGTTTTAGGGTAGCTGGCTTTGGCTTGAGGAATGTAAACTGCTCTGATGGGATTGTTAAGAAGAATGCTATAAGGAAAGTTGTTTACCCTGACATGGTTGTTCCAGATGCAGTAATATTGTTTTCAAGCTTGAGAAAAAATACTGCTGCTCTTTGTTTTCCCAAGTTAAAAGCAGAGCAATACTATGAAGATTTAATGCTAAACCCTGTTGCAAAGTAAACTGTAGAGGCAAGTTAATAAATTGAAGCAAATAGTGAAGGATTACAGATTTAGGAGGAGGAAGGTAGAGGGAGTAACTATCTTTTGTGTTCACTGTGAACTTGGCTAGAAGCAATGGAATTAAAGTGTAAATATTTTCACTCCTGGATTTTTTTTTTTTCAGTAAGTATGAAATGTTCAGAATTCCTACTAGATTATGAGGCAGTCATGAACAAGTATTTGAGGTAAAACAAATCAAAGAGGGCTCAAAGTAGCAATTTCTTGGAACTGAGTTTTGGGGCCTGTATCCAAATACTGTATGGACTTGGCATTTATATGCTTTTTTGTGTGGGTTTTCCTTTTTTTCTTTTTCCTTGCTTTCTATTGAGACTGTATTCAGAACAGACTGTAAAAGCAGATTATTTCTTGTTTGCTTTTTCTCTTTCAGAGTCTTAAAAGTTTTGACCCAGGTGAAAAACACTTTTGTAGCACTTCATGGAGTGATGTCTCTCCTTGGGAGTCTGCGGGCAAAAGGAAGGTATGTATAGTTGTGATAGAGATTCTGGGTAGATGTGTATGTGGAGTTGCTGAATTTTATTACTTTGAGAAGTCCTGGGAAAGTTAAAATACACCTTTTTATGGTAAAAAAAAAATCTAGCTTTAATGTCTGTTTTCTAAGTACTATTAGGAATAGTCTTCCATTTCCTCTGTATTCTTCTCTGTAATGCAGCTGGTTATAAGGACTATGTATACTGTTTGCCATCTTTAAGGATGCAACCTTGAACGTCAGTGTTTAAGATGTCATACTAATGTTCTGCCTTTTTAGCCTATTCTGATGTGTAGTCTTCACATGCTCTTGCATACAGCTTGTTTCTTGTTTCTTTGGAAGGGTGCAGATGTGGTTGTTTAGATGAAAATGGATTAAGGTGAAAGTGGCTTGGGATAGGGTTGCAGTGGAAAACATGTTCCATTTAGATTGGTGTATGTGGAACAGCTTTAGTTCTCTATGGCTGGAATCTTGTGTGGAGCTAATATCTGCAAGAAAGGCAGGGTTGAGATGAACAAACCAGTATAATTTTATATTCTAGCAAGTTTGTAAGATGCTGTTGTAGAGCAAAGGAATATATCTAGAGGAAAAGGTAGGCTTTTCTCAGTCTTGCTGAAGAGTCTTGGGGTTCCTGATTGCTACCATGAGGAAGGCCTGTCAACAGCATGTGAAGAGCAGTGGGTCTGTACTTTTCATCCTGAGTCCAAAGGAAATGGTTTAGAACAATATGGTGGCTGTTTGTCAGGGTTTTGGGGGCTTTGTGTGTTGTGTGATTATTTTTTTTCTTTTTTCTTTTTTAATTTTATTTTTTTTTTATTTTTAAATGTGGCATGACCATCTTTGAAACAAGCAGAGGCTGCCACATGCAGTAGCTGTATGTTTTAAAAAAGCCTGACCAAACAAAGCCATTCAGTCTTTGTCAAACTATCATTCAGTAGAAGGCAACTCTTCCTTCCCTTTAGGACCTTTGTCTGCTTTGTCTCCTAGTTCTCCTTTCCTGCACTTGGGTTAACACATTTGAGAGGGGAAGTTCATCTGTTCACATGAATTTGTGGATAAGAGTCAAATGTGACTTGTTCGGCTGAGTCTGCAGAGACTTGGGCACTAGCTTCTTAGTGCCTCTTCGGTTAAGGCTTACAGTTACCTTCAGTAAAGACTACCTTTAGTTTAGCTGAATGGAATAAATCCTGTTAATGGTTGCACTGGTTCCCTCCCCCACTTCTTATTTATTCTTTATGCACATGGAAAATGTCTCCTTTTATCAGGTCTCCTGGCTCCAGTCAGCGTATTTTGAGCTCTAGCCTTGCTGATTCTGTCTTTTTTTTTTTTTTGCCTTTTCTCTTAGTCAGTGGACAAAGAAATTAGTGTTGGGAAACCTTCTGTGTCAGATAAGCAGGATAGATTCTCCCTCCTCCCCAGACACAAAACAGGGAAGAGGAGGATGAAGACAGAGAAAGTAAAGCTTCTTGTTTAAAACTTAAAAAAAAGTTGGGCTTTGGGTGGTGTGTGGGTGGTGCTGGTGTTTTTGTTGGTGTTTTTTTATTTTTTTTTCTTTTTTGTGTGTGTCCACAGTCCTTTAGGAAAAAAATTAGCCATTTCAGTGACAATGGAAAAGAACTAAAAATCATGCACTAGAGTGGGAATCTTTCATCCCTATTGTCTGGAGAAAGACCAGGCAGAGAGACCTGATTCCTTACCAGAAGGGAGAATGTCCTGGGTTCAGCTGTAACAGTTATTTTTCTCCTTCGTAGTGGCTGGTGCAGAGCTATGTTTTTGTCTTTACTCTGAGAACAATGCTGATAACACACTGCTGCTTTAGTTGTTGCTCAGTAGCACTTACTCTGATTGAGAACTCCTCAGTCTGTTACGCTCTACTGGTGTGGAGGGGCACAAGAAGCTGGGAGGGAGCAGAGGCAGGACACCTGTCCCAAACTGGCCAAAGGGGTATTCCATACCACAGCACATCATGCCCAGTATAGAAACTGGGGGGAGTCACCTGGAAGGGCACATTGCTACTCCAGTCAGGCTGGGTATTGGTCAGCAGTTGGTGAGCAGTTGTATTGTGCATCACTTTCGTTTGGGTTTTTTTTCTTTCCCCTTTTAGTTTTATATTCTCTCCTCTTGTTATTTCCCTTATTATTGGTGGTGGTAGTAGTGGTTTTGTATTATACTTTAGTTATTGGACTGTTCTTATCTCAACCTGTGGGATTTACATTCTTCTGATTCTCCTCCTCATCCTTCTGGGAGCGGGGGGGATAAGGGGGAGGTGTGAGTGAGTGGCTGCATGGTTTTGAGTTACTGGCTGGGCTTCAACTATGACAGAGAAATACAGATCCTGACTCAGCTAATCAGCATGACCAGTTGTATCTGTATCTGTCCAAAAAAAACAAAGATGAACTTCAGTGTAGAGTTTGTAATCTGTTGCTGTGGAACAGATTTGCCAAGCTATGTCTTGTGCATGCTAAAGCTGCTCCTATCTGTTTTCTTTAAACAACCATGGTTCCTTGAAATACACTACTCGCCTATCTCTGCATCATGCTGCCTAGATTTGGGAGAAAAGAAGTTGGTCCTTCAGGATGTTCTAGAAGTTCTTGCCATAGGGGATAATAAGTTGTTTGAACTACATTGGAGACTCAGTAGGCTGGAGATAATGTTTATTTAGATGAGTTGGTGGTTTTACCATTAGTAAGGGAGACATTGATAATTATGGAAGAACTTACGTTTTTTGGAGGCTATTGTGTCTTTCTGCTTGTCTCTAGGTTGTGGGGAATGTGAGACTGCACAACGGAAAGTGTTACTGCATTATGGGGTATGTTCTTTGGAGTGGCACTCATCGAGTTTTCCTGAATGCCTCTAATAAGCCTTGTTGAATTCCATTTGTACAGTTTAGGGTTGTGTTGGTCAATCTCCTAGATGCTGCTTTTGGGGTTTTTTTTCTGGGTGGCCTAGAATTCTGTAAAATTATCTATAAAGCTGAGATACTTTTAGTTGCACTTATGAACATATAAAGCAGCTTAAAGCGTATGCAAGGAGCATGTGCTGATGAAATTATTTTCCAATAACACCTATTTTCTAATGTGCCTGTGTGGAAGAGTTCTGTTTCATACAGAAACAACATGAAAGTAGCAGGCTTTCACATACTTCTGCTGAAGCAGAATTTTTGGGATTTTTTTTTTTTTTTTGGTTGGATTTTTTTTTTTTGGTTAAGTAATAGAATTGGAGGTACAGGTGTTTTTTGTTTTTGTTTTTTTTTATTTTGTTTGCTTAAGTGTCATGATTCTTACCTCCATCAAAAAATAAATGATCTAAGAAGGCATGGAACTTTATTTCCCCATGACCTACCAATATGCAGGTACTGGGGTGGTTTCTTAGTAGTATACTGCAGTGCTTGTTTGTGTAAGAATAAGAACATCGTTACTACGGAACAGTAGATCAATTCAGCACTTGGGCCACTTACTTGTAGAGCGGAGTGTTCTCACTGTACCTAACAACAGTTCAGACTTGGCAGCAAAGAAATATTGCCAGTGTATTGCACTATGATATAAATTTATGGATACAGAAAGACCCAAACCATAGATGGGGTAAGGGGAAAGTAAAAGGCAGTATGGGCCCAGTATTTAAAAGCATACAAGCTTTTCTAAGCCTCGGACAACAGATTAAAATAAGCAGTCACCTGCCTTCTTCAGAAGTAAGATTAAGGAGGTGCAGCTTTTAATAATGTTCTGTATGCTTCATTAGTGCAGTGGTGCCAGTGGCCTTTTTCTATGCAGTATACTTTAAAAGTAAGATTGAGGCTTCTTCTAACTTGCTGTAGTGCTGTTTACTAGTAGCTGAGACCAGACACCTAAAGAGTGTAAGTAGGGGATAATTCTCTGATAGCTTCACAGTGTACTCTTTATGTGACCCAATCTTTTGAATTTGGAGGTTAGGTTTTGGTTTTCATCAGGAGCTAGTAGATGACACCTTCATGGCTATATGAAATGACAAAAAAAAAACTGCACAAATTTTTGCTACAGTTCTTCATAGTGTGTCTCTGACATATATGTGGGTGATGTAGGTAGGCTGGATGCTGTGGTGGTGGAACAGCTTGTTCCCTTTGTGTTTCAGAAGGGGCAGCAATAAGGTGAAAAACACATCTGAAGGAACAGACAAGTTTTACTAGATATTTCAGAGTGCAGCTTTGTCACCTGGATGCTGCTGTGACTGATGCTGTATGTTTTGGCAGGAGCGAGGCTTAACTTTGTAGGAAGATGGTAAGAAAAAATGGTTGACAGGTCTATCAGCTTTTCAGGAAGAGCAAATAGTGTGCATGTGGATATGGAAAGTAATGCTGTCAAGTGACATGTAATCAAGGCAGCAAACTGCTGTTTAGTGGAGGATAATTAGGTTTATTTTTTTATAATTAAAATATTTTTATGAGAGAATCTGTATGTTCTGTAGTGAATGTACTAGAAGAAATTTCTTAAAGAAATTACAGTGATGGGATGTGCAGATGTTGAGATAAATCAAAGAGGTCATTGCTACTTTATCATAAAAGGGGTTTCATTCATTTTTATTATTAGTATGACTCCAAAAGAATGTTCTGAAAAAAAATTAATCTTTTGTGGCTTTTGGAGAGCTTTCAGTGAAGGTAGGGTATTGAAATACACAAAAAACCCTCACCCCTTCTCTCTTTTTGTCCATTAGATAGAGGTGGTTTTGACCTAAATAATGCTTTAAAAGTGTCATATTTAAAGGGCTGCTATTCCTAATAGTTAAGGCTTCACCTCCTGTGTACAAGTGGCATTCAAATTCTTCTTAGCTTGTTTTGTGATTCCCATCTTTAAAAATGGGCTTCAGAATTACATCTAGTGAACTGGAGTAGAAACTAACTCATTTAAGGCTTCTTAGTAAATTATAAAGAAGCAAAAGGGCACAAATGTTTCTCCCTTTAAGTGTGTCGTCTTTAAGTCTGCTTTTCAGAGACAGAAGAAACTGAGCAGTTACATGCTATACATCCAGTGAAGGCATTTTTGACAGTTGATAGTGCAGGCTTACTTTCAAACAGATAACAGGGATTTAGGAACTGGCAGTTTCTAAGTGGATGTTTTTGTTTTCTTTGCAGAGGTACAGAACAAAGCCTTACTGCTGTAGCTTATGCAAGTTCTCATCAAAATTGCTTACTTCATTCAAGAATCACTTGCACCGCTACCATGAGGATGAAGTGGACCAAGAGCTGGTGGTTCCTTGCCCGAAATGTGCATTTGCTTCTGATCCCAAAATAGTGGGAAAACATATCCGTATGTTTCATTCGTCTAATAGAAGAATACAGAACTACACAGTCAGTATTTTGGATGGCATGAAACAATTCAGGAGTGACATCATAAACTTTACGTGTCTAAAATGTCACTTCACAGACACATTGTATTACAATATGAAGAAACATGTGCTGATGAATCATTTTCAGAACTTAATTAGTACGTATTTTGGCCAGAAACCTGATGAAAGTAAAGAGAATTCTGCGGAGCACTACTGTAAAAAATGTAATGCTTCTGCAAACAGCCAAGATTCTTTAATGTATCATGTCTTGACAGCTGAAACACACAGAGATCTGGAGAACAAACTTCGGTCAGTGATTTCAGAGCATATTAAGAAACCAGGACTTGTGAAACAAATGCAAATTGCTCCAAAGCCTCTCCAAAGTGTGGCAGTGACTTCTCCATCTGCAACACCTGCCGCTGCCACAGCAGGTTCTGTCACGGCTCCACCTTGCATCCAGTTTGCATTTCCACAGAATAATCAAAACCAGAGTGTGGTGCAGCCAAAAGCCATTCAAAACACAGTTGGATCACTGACTGTTCCAAGTGCCTCTGGTAGCCTTCCACATACAACTTCTGCTCCAGTTGTTACCCCCTCACATGTTACTCTTGTATCTAATAATCTTTTTGTAGGTCAGAATAACATGAATATTCAGCCATCACCTTCCCAGTCTATCATTGTTTCTCATACACTCCCCCTTAATCAGCCTGTGGGGACTGTGGCCCCTGCAGTTCTTCCTCTTAATCAACCTGTCAGGCCTGGGCTCTTTCCTATTAATCAACCCATTGGTACCATAAATGGTACGGTTGCAAGTGGAACACTACCTGTTACTCAGCCTGTCAGCCCTGTCAATCAACCAGTTGCACCAGGAGTTCTCTCTGTCAACCAGTCGTTTGGGAATGTGAGTAGTCCCATTAGTCCCAGGGTCCTTCCTGTGGCACAGACGGTTGCGTCAGGTGTTCTCCAGCTTAACCAGCCTGTTGCTTCTGGGCTTGTTCCTGTCAGGCAGTCTGTCAGACCTGGTTTTTTTCAGCTTAATCAACCTGTTGCCCCAGCAGTTATCCCAGTAAACCATCCAGTTCAGCCGGCAGTTTCTCAAAATGCAACTTTTTTGACTCCGGGTTCTATACTTCGGCAGTTGATTCCAACTGGTAAGCAGGTTAATGGGATACCTACGTACACACTTGCCCCAGTTTCAGTTACTTTGCCTGTACCTCCTGGTGGGGGAGTAGCAACTGTTACACCACCACAAGTACCCCTCCAGCTAATGCAGGCTGGGACAATAACTCAGTTGTCCCAGTCACCGGCTAGTGCACCCTCTCCTCCAGTGGTTTTAACATCTCAGAATATATCATTACAAGCCTCCCTCCTTGGTCTTGGAACAAGTCAGGATATCAGACAGGCTAAGCAGTGGAAGACTTGCCCTGTTTGCAATGAACTTTTCCCATCAAATGTCTACCAGGTGCACATGGAGGTGGCCCACAAACAGTGTGAATTAAAAACGGAGAAAACCCCAGCACCTGACAAGCTTGCAGCTTGCGCACCCTTTCTGAGGTGGATGACAGAAAAGACGGTCCGGTGTTTCTCTTGTAAATCATTTCTCTGTGAGGAAGAGCTCATGAAACATCTCTTGATGCATGGCTTAGCTTGCTTGTTTTGCACAGTTACTTTCCATGACTTAAAAAGCCTTGTGGAGCACAATAAAACCACACACAAGGGGAAAAAGCAGTTACATGCAGATTACAGCAACAGAGGATTTCAACTAGGTAATGATGCTCAGGGTGACCTTGTATTTCCTCACTTTGATTTCAGTACGGTGTTACCAAAAGAAGACATTGGTGAAAGAGAAGTACATTTGGCAGTGCTTGCTGGACTAAATTCAAGGACACTTGTCCCCGTTTACATCAAAGTAACAGCTCAAACAGCAGAAACGAACAGCAGATGCATCAAAAAAGCATTAACCTGTCCCTTTTGCTATGGTACGTTTCCTGGTAAAGAAACCTATGAAATGCATTTGAAAGAGAGGCATCATATAATGCCAACTGTACATACTATTTTAAAGACTCCTGCTTTCAAGTGCATCCACTGTTGTGGTGTGTACACTGGAAATATGACTCTAGCAGCTATCGCTGTACATTTGCTCCGTTGTAGAAGTGCTCCCAAAGACAGCAACTCAAGTGTGAAGATGCAGCTTGAGCTTACTGAGAAGAAAGAGCTACTGTTTGTAAATGGTGAAAAGCATGATTCTGTGACACTGAAAAGAAAACAATCGGATTCCTGCTTTGTTGCAGAAGACCAAAGGAATAAGGAACAGCAGCCTCTGAGCTTAAGTACTGGCATAGCTCTATCTGCAGAAAAAGAAGTGAATTCAGGGGTAGTGCCTTTTAAACGACAGAAGATTAGGACTGATATGAAGAAGCTTCCTTCTAGTGAGGATCTTCGTCTTCTAGCAGTGGATCCTAAGCAGTATGATCACAATTCGTATGAGGCTCAAAAGCAGTTTTTGACAGACTACTTTCACAAGAGACCATATCCTTCTAAGAAAGAGATGGAATTACTTTCCTCGCTGCTGTATGCATGGAAAATTGATGTTGCATCATTCTTTGGAAAAAAGAGGAATATATGCTTAAAGGCGATGAATAATCACAAACCATCTGTGCTGCTGGGTTTCAGTATGTCTGAACTAAAAAATCTTAAGCACAGTTTGAACCTAAAAGACAAAGCATTAGATATGTAAACAAGCTTTTTGTAACAGCTAAAAGCAACCCATAATTGCATAATTATTGATTTAGCCATTTCTTGTATTATTTGTTTTGACTTGCAGACTGGCCTGTCAAAGGGTGCAGTAGTACAAACAGTCTTGTTCAGTTGCGACTTACTGTGAAAGGCACACGTAGTTGTGTATTTGAAAAGCTAAAACCTTCAGACTTACACATCTGGAATTTATTTTAGCTTTTTACTTTTTATGGAGTAGGTTTTTTATTTTCATTTCTCCTGTTCCCTTTCTTCCCCTCCAGGCTCCCATTACACTTTTTATACCACCATGTAAAACATTTGTCCTGTTAAAAACAAATTTGATTTTATTTTTCTGCAATGTCATCATCTTTTCTAAACAATAAAATGTATAATGTTGGTTAAAATACAGAGGTAAACTATGTGAAAACATATATTTGATCATTTGGGGGTTTAAGTCCTAATTCTTTTAACCTATTTTTGTTTCATCTGCTGAAGAAGTGATTGTAACCTTTACGTCCATTGCCTTTTCAGATTCCCGATGCACTGGTAGCAATAAAATAGACGGCAATCTTTATTTTCCCTCAGCCAAAATATCTGTGCCAGTTAAATCTGGTGACTTGTAGTATCTAGCTAGTACTAACTTGGTGGGGATTGAGTGACTTGGTGGTGCCCACTGAAGTGTTATCATTAACTGACTTGAAATGGTTGTGTGTTATCTGTTAAATAGATCTTGCTAACCAGAAGTGTTTTTTCTTTGGTGTTGAAGCCTGGTTGTTTAAATACCTGTTGTTCAAAGCTTGTGCAGCTATTGTAGCAGCGTTTGGTTTATTTTCTTTTTCAAAAAGCAAAACCGCATTGGAGGGAGTCAGATTGCTCTGATACATGGAATGCATGACTTCGGTGCACATCACTTACCTGTAGAAGCCCTATCCAAATATCAGCAAAGCTTGGTGAAAAATGCGTTTTTTATTTTAAATGGCTGTTACATGAGGTTAGTAGGAGGAGGCATTGCACCGAGCAGTGCCTCCTCCCCAGCAAATTAGATATATGGCTTGGAGTCTTTTGAGTCAGAAATTGTACAAACTGCAACTGGATGAATTGGTAGCATCAAGACTTTAAACTGTTGAGTACTTGAACCAGTGATACTCATGTAGTAATTGTTCTTTTTTGTCCTCTAGAGAGCATAAGAATAGTATAAAACCCAAATAGACCAGCTTGTTCAATATAAACTACCATCCCTATTACAGATTATGGAAGAGCTGTTGGGAAGTTCACTTGAGCTGAAGAACAAGTAGTATTGGTGGCCACATTGAGGCTTTGTTTGGTACTGTTCTTCCTTTCCGGATGTGCTTGGTTTCATCTTGCTTGTCAAACAGTGACTCCAATATTCATTAATGGCCAGTTATATAATAAATAACTTGAAATATGCATTATTTTTTCCCTACTCTTCATCCCCTTCTCCCCACTTGTCTTTCCCAGAAGAGGAAAAAAAAAAAAGAGCAGGCTCTCCTGTCAGTTCACTTGTGCCAGTGTTACAAGGAAAGGGTGATGTGCAAGCTTATTTCTATTTTTTTAAGCAATAAGTGTACTTTTGCCCTGTGCAGTAGTTTTTAAAGTAGACACAGAATGTTTTTGGTGCAGTTTCTAAAATGGCATGGCATTTTTAGCAGAATTTGGTGACTGCCCACCTGAGGTTCTATAAGCTGTTCGAAATTCTATTTTGGATACAATCTTGATATTTTCATATTGATCACTTCAGAGAGTTTTGATGTATATGCAACATATGGTTACTTAAACTGGTAGAATCTGCTATTTGGAAAAACCTAGTTATTTAATAGCAGTGCTGAGCAAATGTGAACACCATTTCTGGGAATGTCCACACATCTCAGCGCAAAGAGTGATGGTGAATAAGAACCAGTGTGGTGTTCTAGCTTAACAATAGCTCATTAAAAATAAAAATATGATATTTGGGCATAGCACAGTTCATCAATCAGTTTGAAGGGCTGTGAGTGAGGAAGGAGGATGGATGCTGTATAGAAGTTCTGAAATCTAGGCACTAAGTTTCACTCTTTAAAACCTCAGTACTGTGAGCTCTGTCATGTTTGGGGTGGTTTATGCTGTTATCAGTGTAACTCCAGCAGGGAGGAATTTGGCAGCATGCATACAGGGAAGGCTTGCCGTGAATGGTAAAAGATTGTTCTTGAGATAAGAATGTGGCTTGGAGTAGGCAGCTGGGAAGTCATTTCAGGATTCAGCCATGCTGGGAACTCCAAGGGAACAGTCCAGTCTTACCAGAGTTTTCCTGCATAGCCTCCAGTGGTGATGTTAAGCATTTTCTTTATTGGACTTCGATTTCACAGTTTCGAATAAACCAGCTTTCTAACTTTCTCTTAGATGTGTGTGCAAATGACTACCTATCTCACTGCTCCCCTCCCTCTGCTTTAATATATTCAGGGAACTTGGTGTGAAAGCTTCTTTTTGCTGCAAAATAGCTGTTAAAAGACAAAAAAGGTAAGTCTGACCTTAAAACATTGATCCAGGTGCTTTAGGTAGACCTTAGTGCATTATATTAATATCTTTTATTATCTCAACTGACAGTTACATATTTTCCTAGAGACTGATGTTCTTACATCTTGGTACTAATTTGCTGTCACTAAATGCTTCTGCTCTTACTAAGTAAGGACTGTAGAAATAAACCAGGTGAATTTTGTTATGGGATAATGACTGAGACATAGTCATGGTTTTCAGGAAAGCCAAGGAGCCTGAAAACAGACAAATTACATCGGTGACTTTAACTACATTAGGCTTTTGCGGTAGGCTTCTCATGTGTGAAGTCACTTGGTTAGGAAGCGTTAGTCTGGAAAGATGCTGCTGCCCCTGTCTAGGGCTACATGTGGGCAGTGTGGTAAATGTCTCTCTGTCACTTTTAAAAGGGCTGAGCCTGACACAGCTGGTATAAGCTGTGGGGGAAACAAGTCTTCCAAAGCAGCTGCCCTCTGCAGCAGACTTTCTGAATGCAGGTCCGTAAATCACATGAGTGAAGCTCTGGTCCACTGTAGACAAAGTCCAGTTGGGAATACTAGTTGGTTTGCAGGATGGCTGTATCAAGTACTTGTTCCTTATGAGAATCATTAAAAATATCTGTATGTATTCTGCTTCTGAAATCTGTTGGTCTGGAGAAGTCTCTTTGTGTTTGAGAAATACGTTGTTGTGGTGTCTTCAGTTTTTGAGCAGAAAAATTTGCTTCTGAAATAGTGTGACAATTTATTATTTGAATATATAGTAGGAAGGGTTATTATTATAATGTAATTTGGTCATGTTTCTTCTGTATACGTTTATGTGGTGGGATTTATGTTAACATTTTTTGGTGAACCCAAACCACCCTTGTGATTGGTTTTCAGTACTGCATTCTTGTGTAGATTACTGCAGTTCACCATTGCATCAGACTTTTTTTCCCCCCCTTCACTGTTCTTAGTTGCTCAGGAAAGCTCAGGGGCTTATTTAAGTAGCTGTTGAATATAACCTTGGGTGTGCAATTCCCAACAAATATCTCTGTAAAACTACACTGCAGCTGGCTGTGCCATTTTCAAACATAAGCGTGTCAAACTTAACTGTGGACACATTTTCTAGGAAGAATACTTGACGCTAACTAGCAAAGTACAGATACATGGAAAAAAGCTGCAGTCTAATAGCAAGAGAAAAAAAAACACCCCCCAAGAAAAGCCTTCATAAAATGTGTGTAGCTTATGTTAAGGGTCAGAAGAATTTTCACTCCTTCCTTTGCAAAATGTATGTGAAAAAGATAAATTGGGGGTATTTGTGATTGAAGCAGAACTTTGCGGTGCTGCATTTAAAGTTCAACACTTTGCTTTAGTGCCCCTGTATCTCATTTCAGCTGTTCTGACTTGACAGGCAAGCTGCAGTTGGGACAGTTTCTCATTTTACTTAGGTACTAGATCCCAAAACATGAAACATGTGGAAGACTGTCTCTTGTGGACTGGGCTTGTTAGCTGTCCTGTCATGCATGTGGTATGCCAGCTGCATCACCTGTTGGAAAAAGTGATGCAGAAAGGATGCTAATATATTGAGCCTCTGTGAGATACTGTCTTTGGCACATAAGTATCTAGTTCCAGAACATGCATTGTGAAATAATTTCTAGGTCATGAAGGACAAGTGCCATAACTTCATTTACTGAGTCATCTTGCGTAGCAAATGCATGCAACATCATCCATCTGCCACAGGACTGGCATCATGCTATGCTTAGAGACAGGACCAAGTCAAGCTTTTCAGAGCGCTCAGAACAGTCTCCTCTCCTGAACTCGGCAGAGAATTATGGTTGCAAGGGCATTACTAACCTGAAAACAGATAGTTACCTTTGAAAGCACTGCCAGTGCTGTATGTGTGGCCATCCATGTGGTTGAGTTCTGTCTGGTTAATGCTACAGTGGCCTCACGTGATCCTCAATAGAGCTAATAGGGTAAGGTGGGCTGGTTAGCAATGATCCTACATGTAGCATTGTGTGTAGGCAGAGATAGAAGGCAGAGTGTAAGCTGTACAGCTGAACCTCCTCTGTCTTGGCTTGCTTATTTTGGAATAAGCGCTCATTTTAAAGTAGCTTTTGGGACTGATCTTCTTAATGTTATAAATGATGTGAAAAATGCGAGTCTATTAACCAAACTTGTTAATGGAAGAAAAGCTGTCAGGCAGCATTGGTGTAGAGAAGAGCCAGTATCGTATTTGAAGAACTTGTATGCTGGGAGTTAATACAACATCATGATTTATAAACACACATGCATAAGGGTCAGCCAGCATAGATTCTCCTACTTGGCTGCTGCTGCTGCTCAAGGCCAAGGATAACCTTGGCACAAACAGAGGTTGGAATGTGACCACATGTGTGTTCAGTGTGGGATCGTACAAAACCAGAGCTAGGGTCAGGGCCATAAGATTCAGAATCAATGGGTGCAGTTTGAGCAAAAACCCAATTTTGAGGTGAACACAAGC